CTGAGCTGAAGTCGGACGCCTAACCGACTGAGCCACTCGGGCGCCCCAACACCCTTTTTCTGAGGAAGGACAGCTTCTGATAGGGAAGAAGAGGCAGGGTTATGGGAGCTAGTGTCCCCCGCAGCTCCAGGTGGCCAGGTGACTAGTGCTGGCCAATGAGGCTGAAGAGCAGTGGTTAACCAGGACTTCCAGAAAGCCTCCTTGAATGGGGCAGAGAGATGAAGAAACTCTCCTCTGTCTTTCCTCCTTCCTGCCACTTGGAATGCCAACGTGACAGTTGAGCATGAACTGCCAGCTGGATGAGGGGACCGTCTGGGTCAGAAAAAGTGACCGTGAGCAGTGCCTGGGTGGCTTGGCTGGTTGAGTGCCCGACCTCGGCTCAGGTCATGATCTCAACTCATGACCAGGTCCATGAGTTCGACCGAGCCCCATGTCAGGCGCTGTGCTGACAGCTCAGAGCCTGGAGCCTGCTTCAGATTCTGTGTTTCCCTCTCTCTCTACCCCTCCCTTCCAAAAAAAATAAATTAAAAAAAAAAAAAAAAGTGACCATGCTGGGGTGCCTGATGACTTTGAGGAATGGTCATCCCAGGCTCAACTGCCACTTCAAACTCTTTTTATTGGGGAAAATAATAGACTCTGTGTTTTCCCTTTTGTTATTTTCATAAAGCTGCCTCCACTCCTCGGTGACACAAGGTCTTCTGTCCCATCCCTGCGGGGCGGGGGGGGGGGAGGGGGGGGACACCATCCTGCACCTTTGCAAATCAACATGCCCCTAACTCCTGGGGACACAGAAACCCAGAAAGGGGTCTGTTTATAGAACCCCTCCTGAATGTCTGTACCTCATCTATTCAGTGAGCTTCCGCTTTTCAGGTGAGGGAACTGAAGTCACATGACCTCCAAGAGCCGGGGCTCGGACGCAGGCCAACCACAATCTAGGTAGCAGGCACGTGACGGTCAGCACCAAAGGTTGAAAAGAGATGCACACGAGAGAACATTTTCCGCTGAGGTGACTCTCTCTGTTAAACTCGGTGTTTTCTGGAACGTAAGGACAGGCCCAGACGTAAACATCCTTATTCAAAACGATCTCCACCCTATTCAAAACATGTGTGTCTCCTGTCCCATCCCTCAAGGTCTCGCTCAGGAACAGGTGTCTTGTCCGATTCGCATGCTGCTAAGGGCGTCATCTTTTCCCTCTGGGAGGCATACAGATATTTCACAGGGCCTTCTGGAGTTGTCCTTGAGACAACAGTTGGACGTATTTGCATCACCATCATCCAGATTCTACCACTAAAAACTGTATCGCAGGCAACGGTGAGAGCTTTCCTAGGTCACCTCCAACATGTCTCTCAGCAACCTAAGGAAGAAGGGAAAAAGTTTGTCCCCACTTGACAGACGAGGAAACTGAGGCTCAAGTAACAAAGTGAGTTCCTCAAAGCCATTCCGTTCATTCATGACGGACCCGGGATTTGAACCCATGCTCTCCCGGTTCCCGAGGCCATGATTGTGACCCTCTGTTGTAGAAGAAGGGATTGAGGGGCTGGGCTGGGCCATCATCATCCTCCATGGAGATGTGACCTGCCCAGTGTTCCAGCAGAATAAGGAAAGGGAAGGCATAAGTATCCTCACGTGTATCACCGGTTAATGTGCGCCAACTCTTGTCACGGACATCAGGTCGTTTCTCCTCACAGCAGCCACAGGAGGCTGGAACTGTCATCTCCCCTTTGCCAGTGAGACCACTGAGGCTCGGGAGAGCCGTGTGACTTGCCTGAGGCCGCACAGCTGATGAAAGGCCAGGCCGACCTTGAGCCCCAGGCTCTCCCGCCCCGCGGACACCCCCGAAGCTCCAGGCCCAGGTGGGTGGGGTGGCCAAGCTCGTGCTTGCGGAAGCAGGTCTGTGGCGCCAAGGACACGCCTGCCTGTCTTCTCGCACAATGGGGGAAATTCCAAAAGTTCCTTGGGATGGTTCAGGTGTGGCCAGGCCGACCATCGTCCTGACGCACGCTTTTCCTCTTCCTCCTCCTGCCACCCCAACAACAGCCAGAAGCGGGGTCCCCTCCCTTCCTGAAAAGCCTGCTCCCCTTGGCCGCTTGGTCGCGGAGCCACGGGGCTTTTTTCCACAAACGGTCGTTTCCATCCATCTCTGTCCTGGGGGCCTGCGGGGGCCTTGAGGGGGAAATGCTGACTTTGAGGAGGTTAAAGGTGCTGGTGCCCGGCCTTCATCTAACAAATGGGCTGCCGTCGGGGGAGGGACTGTTGTTTTTTCCTGGCCTCAGAAGAGGGGCCTGTCAGGAAGATGTAGAGGCCAGCAGGGGGGGGCCCCCAGGCCGCACCCCGCAGGGTGGCTGACAGACGTGGGCAGCTGCGAGGGCGCCCGGGGTGCAGGGGGGGTGCCAGGCCCAGCGCAGCGCTCCTCACCCCTGCCGCCCCCCTCCCGCTGCCCCCCTGACCCCTCGGCCCACCTCTTCCAGGGGTGAGGGCCCAGGTTGGGCCTCCCTGGGCCGGTTCCCTGGGCCAGCTGCCGAGGGAGGCCAGAGGAGCCAGAGTCGGGTTACAGCTGCTGGGCCAGCCCCCCAGGGAAGGTTCTCCTTGGGAAGCTGACAGGCCAGGGCTTCCTCCCAGCCTCCTGTGAATTCCTTCTAGAACCCCCACAGCCCCGAGCCTCCAGCCTCCCTCGAGGGACCTCGCAAGGCTGTTTCAGTAGAATTTCCTCAGTGCTCCTCCCTGTCCACAGTCTCCTTTGGGAATCCTCGAGTTAAGGAGGAGGGGCTACGTTAGGAAAGGAGCTGTGTTGATCTATCACCTACTTGGGGCTCTGCTTCGCAGAACCGATTCATTTAAATTCTCAGCTGTGGGTGGGGCGGGCATTCTGAGGAGAGGGCTTTTGTGGGGATCTCTTGGGGGGAATATGTGTGAGGCGCTGAGATCACTGGGTGAATGTCAGCTAGGACTGTCATCCCAGCTGAGGAAACAGAAGCTCAGAGAGGTGAGGTGATTTCTCTCAGGGCGTGCAGCTGGGAAGTGGCGGGCCCAGGGTTTGAACTCGCATTGGTCTGACCCCAAAGTCCGTCCTCCTTCCTGTGTGTCAGGCTGCTCCAGACTGGACAGCCGGACGCCCGAGGGCGCCTCCTGGTTCTGCCCTTTCTTCACTCTGTCATTCGGAACAGCCTGCTTCATCTATTGGAGCCTCGCTTTCATTCGTAAAATATAGAACGTGATTCCTAATTTACCTATAATCGGAGATTCACAAGGTTCAGAGGAGAAATGTGTGTCTGACAGCTAAGTCCCGGGCAAAGCAGGGAGATGAGTCTGGTTTGTGGCAATGATCCCACCTCCTCTCCTGGCCTACGACACCCTGCCCATTCCAGAAACCACATGCCGATTCAATGAAGAATGTGTGTGCGGCCTCTGGGCTGCGGGGCTGAGACCCGTGGGCCCTCCTGGCGTCTTTGGAACCGGCCAGCACACAGTTACGTCCTGATCCTGCTGCTCTGGGCCGTGGAAATATTCGGTGGGAGGGGAGCTCGGCCCGTGTGCTTGGAATGTCATCCTCCCAGAAATTATATTAACCCTCCTAAGAGACCAGCAGGTCATGGGGATTAAGTAGACCGATTGACCGGTTGAAATGGCAGTTGGCTGTCCTGTGACAGGCACCAGCCAGAAAGACCATATGATCGTTTGCCAAGGAGAACCCCTTTGGGAGGGAGAATCTCCCTGATTCCTATTTCCATGCCCTAGATTCCACAGAAGCCTTGGCCTCTGGGAGTGGGGTAGGGGAAGCAGGTGGGTGAAGGTTAGGGGGCCTAGAGAAACGTCAAGAACCTTACCCTAAAAACCTTCCCTTTGCTGTGGAGAAAAATGACTTGAAACCCTCCCCCCGCCGCCCCCCACATGCAACCTAGAGAAGATCGTAGCTAATTGGCATGTAAGTTGGGGTTAAAGAACGGAAGGAAGAATCTGATTGTTTTTTTAAGTTACTGAGAAAGTGGGAATGTCACTTTGGGCAGAGAGAAAGAATTTTTTTTTCTGGAGTGTGTCTTTCTCTATGCTACAGTCCCTAGTGGGCCGCTGAGACTTGCAAAAAAAAAAAAAGATTTCTTTTAATCCACCTTCCTTTTTGCAAGCAGCAGCAGAAGGGCCTTTAAATCAAATGCAATCAGCAAACTTGTCTCTTGCATTTATTCCCTGCTTCACTCCCTGGAATTTGGCACTTGATGGATTCTGGATCTGACTTCAGCCTTTTTCCAAATCCAAGACTTGGGGAATTTTGTTAACAGCGCAATAAAATAACTTCATAGCGTACAGGAGGCACATTAAAGAAGTTGTGTGTGTGCGCGCACTGCTCTCTCCCCTTAAAATTAAAAAAACGCAATACAGACAATGTTTCTTTAAAAGTCTCCATCTGCAAATCCCATTAGATGTGCATATAAGGTTTCTGATGATTAATAGTTGCCTGCTCGGGGTTTTGGTTGGAGGGGATTGTGTGTGTGCTGGTTAACCCCTCCCTCTCCTCTCTCATGTTTCACTTCAGAAATGTGTCACTCTCTCCCCACCGCAGGATTTAAAAGTGTGCCTCACAGCCCTGGTCCAGCCCTCGGCAGGCATTTGCTGCGGGCTCCAGGACGAGCGCTCATCAGCTGGTGCGTCTGGGCTGACACAGTGAAAACGTTTTAGTGTCATCGGCGACACATACACGTACAGGGGACCCCACTAGGCAGGCTGGCGTGTCGGGGAGGGGCAGGAGGCCAGGAGTGAAGCCTGACATAGGTGTGCCCGCACCCAGACGCGTGGCCGGCCACGTGCGTGCCTACTTGAAGGAGAGACTTCAGTTTTCGTTTTGGTTTTGGTTCCTGGGGTGAATTTTCCGCTGATCGTTCTCCCCTCTTATTTATTTATTTATCCTTTTTTTTTTTTTTTTTTTTGGCATTGTTCAAAACTTGAATATAAAAAGCGTGAGAATCAAAACTTTGAAAAGACTGAGGCGTGCAACGACAGACCCCCAGATGGATCCCGTGGCCAGCAGCTGCATGAGGAGCCCCCACCCCCCGGCCCCGGTCTGGGGCTGCCTTCGAAATCCCCACTCTGAAGGCAGTGGGGCCTCGGGGCTGCCCCGCTACCCGCCAACACCGTTCTCCTTCCACCAGAAACCAGACTTCCCGGCGACAGCGACGGCAGCGTACCCCGACTTCTCAGCCTCCTGCCTGGCAGCCGCCCCACACAGCCTTCCCCGGGAGGAGCGCGTCTTCACTGAACAGCACCCCGCTTTCCCGCAGCCCCCCGACTGGCACTTCCCTGTCTCAGAGGCCCGGCGCAGGCTCAACCCGGGCCCAGCTGGGGGCTCCAGGGACGTGGGGGCCAGCAGCCCGGGCCTGGTGGACACCACGGGAGGCCCAGGCGAGGACTACGAGGTCCTGGGGAGCACTGCCCACGAGACGGAGAAGAAGTCCACCAGACGGAAAAAGGAGAGTTCAGGTATGTGGCTGAGGAGCAGCTGAACATTCCTTTGCTTGGTTGCTTTCCCTCTCTGAGCCGAGCTGTCCTGACCAGGAATTGCAAACGATAATGTCTCATCTACGCAAAGGCAGGAGTTACCTTTGGGGTTCCTTCTACTCAGAGGTCCAGGATTCTCTGGCGATGGGGTTTGTCTCTGCGCCCCCAGCACCCCTGGACCCCGGGAAGATTATTTCAGCAAGTGAGTGAAATAAGATCCACAAGGATTGGGAGGATACGTGGGACAGTGCAGGCTGGCAAGGGCTGGAGAGGGGCTTTCCTGAATCCGGGCTGCCTCTGGCTCATGCTTCTCCCCACCATGCCCCGGCAGGCTCCAAATGGTCCCAGAGCCAAAGGGTTTGCTCGGCAGAGGAGTCAGCTGAGATGGGGGCTCGGAGGGCTAGGACGAGGCTGGGACCCTGGGATGTCAAGCAGAGCCAGGACTCTATGTCTCCAGGAGGCTAGAGGCATAGAAGCAGGCCTGGACCAGGATGGGAGAGGCAAGGGGTAAAGAGGAGATGGGGTACCGAGATTGGGGACATACTGCCCACAAGGTATCACCCTGCCCGTACCTGGGCCAAGAGGGCAGCTTAGCGTGTTAAGAACGAGGCTGTGCCCGTGCCTCCTGTCCCCACTGCCCGCTGTGTCCTCCTCACAGCCGTCCTCGGAGCAGGGTCTGTCTGTCTGAACCTCTAGAGGACCTTCTCACGGGGCTAAACAGGGGCAGGTAGAAGAGGAGAGTGCCACCCAGTCAACAAGAACACTCTGTGCTTTGCTTTGCGAAGCACTTTCAATGTAGCGCAGACTTCCAGAGAATCTTCTCTTCGCCATGCACTGCCCAAGGCGCCGGGGACGCAGAGATGAATGTAAAGGTCTCACACCCCAAAGGGCTCAAACTGAGAGGGAGAAGAAGCTGCCTGTCTAGCATTGGATGTGCTCTTTTGGCGGGGGGGGGGGGGGTTCCGAGATGCTGCAGGAAACACGTTAGCTCTTTTGGGTCCCGCCAGTGTGTGAAGTTGGTACAGCAGGTCTGATCAGTATCTCCGTCCTATACGCGTGGAAAAGGAGAGACAGAGTTTGAGGGGAACCCTGCTAGAATGGAGTCTAGATAGTGACCCACTTATCTGGATTTGCCCAGGACTTTTCCGGGGCTAGCATTGAAAATCCAGCATCCCAGGAAACCCCTCAACCCCGGGCAAATCTGGTAACCCTAGAACCGAGCTCAAACCCTAGACCTCAGACCCCAAAGCCCGCACCCTTCAGCAGATTTCAAACAGAATCCTCATTCGGAAATATTCACTCTCCGTGCTTAAAGAAGCCCCTCAACACGCTCACGATGGATGATAGTGACCACAGGCCTCCTGGCTGCCTGATAGGAGGGCCCTTTAAATCTCCAGCTGGTTAAATCCTGAACTATTCCTAGCCCTGGCTGGAGATGTGCCGAGATGGGGCACTTTCTGCTTCTCCTCGCCAAGGGACTCTCAGCGACTTGGCTCTGTGCCCAGTTGAAGAGCTCTTCCCTCCGTGGCGCCTGCCCGGTCCCTCCCCTGCCCACATCTTCCCCCGATGCATCCAGCCA